GGTTCTATGGTAATCAATCTTCTCTTATTTTCATAGGTAAGCAATGCTCAAGAAGAGTTGTTGGAATGGCATGCTGAAAATGCGAAAGACAATTCGAACATAATCCACGCGAGTGAGAGGTGCGCGGGTGGGATTATACAAGCGATTGGTCATTTTAAACTCGGTCCAAACCTTTCTCCGAGAGATGTTTCTGACTTCTTGAAATGCAAAGCGGATAATGTGAATCCCAGTCACGAGGCTGTGAAGTTTTTCTTGTTCTATGAGAGATGGAGAAGAGGTGAAGTTGAAAAATGCGAGATATACACAACAAGTCTCAAAGCTTCATGTGTGAGTATATATATAACATTGTTTCCTTTCTTTATCCGCGAATCTTATACTTTATCGAAAAAAGACTAATGTCTTTCTTTTGGCTAACGAAATCAGCATCCGGCTGGTGTCTTTGTTCATCCATCTGGTTCTGAAAAATCTCTTAGAGATACCATTGATGAGCTTGGGAAGTATCATGGAGACAAAAAAGACAAGAAGTTTCGGGTTTGGACAGATCAAGTCTTAGCAACAGACACTACTCCTGGTACTTGGATAGTAAAGCTTGATAAATGGGAACAAACTGGTAAATAATCAAAGCCTTGAATAAAAGCTAAACAAACTCCATATTAATGAGACCATTTTGTTCCCTAATCGTGATTATTGATAATCTCAGGAGATGAAAGGAAATGCTGCACAACTACTGTCAAATTCACATCAAAGGTAAGAGAGCATTACTAAGTATAGAAGTTACATAAAGAGTAGATTTTAGTTTCTTGAGGAATGAAAAATGTGTTGAAATTTGCAGGAAAATGAAGGATTTGTGTGGGAAAATGTGCAACAAACATGGTCGGAGGAATCAGAGGTTAAAGATGATAGTAACTGGATCATTTGAATCATTATATTCTTTTTGGACTTTTTCTATAAAACATTGCAACAAACAAAGATATCACTATTATTGGTTGGTTGAAATTAAACTTAAATCCCAAAAGTGTCATATTTTGTGTCTAAAAGTTATTCACCATTCTATAAAAATAAACATTTGTAGTCGCATTTTTTAATAGTAAATTACACATTTCAAATATCATACTATTTCATTAATGTTACTACTCAGTAATCATAATGTTTGTGTAAAGAGCAAAGGTGATAATGAGACAAATATCAATGGTTGACACTTGACATAGACTCATCAGTCATCACTAAGGGGGGTTATTGGCACTAGGATTTAGATAAAGTTGGGTGATTTTAAAAGTTTGGAGATTTGTGAAATTTGTAGATAGATTTGTTAAATTTATAGAGAGTTTTGTGTATTTAATAAATCTATCAAAGAATTGTATTTTAAAGATTTCAAGAATCTCATGTATTTGGTTAAGATTGTGAAAGATTTGTTTAGTGAATAAAATTGTTTCAATCCATGTCCCAATAACAATGGATTTCCATGTCCCAATAACAATGGATTTGATTAGAATTACAAAATCATTAAAAACCAAACTTTTCCAATAACAAAGGATTTGAGCAGCCAAGACCCTTTGGTTCCTGTTTTGCATAACCATCTCATAACTTAGGGTTTTTCTTATTTGTAGTTCCTCTCTTTGAATGCTTATACTCTGTTTATATTTGTCCTATAACGACTATTACCTAACTTTGTAACACTTGGAGAATTTATGTTTATGGGTTTTTTCTCTATCTGTTACTTTATGTCAAACAAGTAACTAGTCTAGATAAAAAAGTGTTTCGATGTCTACAAAGCTCGATTGAAGATGAAGAGGTAGTTTCCATTGGACTACCCTCATACATATTATATAAGCTATGTACCTGCTTATGAACATGTACAACCGAAGCACTTCTTTAAAGTCCCAACAGTTGAGAAAAATTAGTATGCAACTAAATTGATTCCGCATTGGCTTTCATAAGTTGTTGACAAAAAAAGAAACATCGAAAAGGGGTCGGAGATTAAAAAGGATTTGCGACAAATTAGTCTTACAAGTGAAGTGAAAAGCAGCTGTTTTATGAATAGCTAAGAATGTGTGGATGTTCTTCCCAGAAACAGCGTTCGATGATGTTGCAATGATCTACGACCACTTGTCCTTCCAGTTTCTTCCCAGAGACTACTCCATTCTCCACTGCAGCAGCTTCCTGAAAATTAAAATTCAGACATCTATTTAACAGGTAAACTACAAAGCTATTCAGTGGAAGAGGATGTTCCACACCATTCAAATGCTTGATGAGTTTGAAAAGAACCGAGCAACAGACCTCTGTGGGTATTTTTTACATTCAGGTTACATATCATGATTTTGCCATTTTAAGAGTTAATCGCCAAGGTTTGAGTTCATGGTTCAGATTATAATAAACAGAAACACTTTGGCATTTATGAAGTTCTTTAGCCAGTCCATTTGTATATCTTCTTTCTAAACATAGATTACGGCAAATGCTAACCTTTAAGCGGAAAACCGATGAACCCATTCGAAAGATTAGAGGTAATGAATTGTACTCAATTTTAAATTCACGGCTAAGCAGCTCCATTTTTTCTCGTGTTTGGGTTCCCTGGAATGTCATTCACAAAGAGCAAGATAAGAAGAACCATTTTCAAGTCATCAGAAAATGAGTTTTTTTTTCCACCATAACAAAGTACCTTTAAGCAAGCTTGGGCATTTAAGCGAGCTTGGGCTTCAGCTTCGGGTTTTTTAGACTCATTAACAAGCATCCAGAAACATGTATTATACTGATTATTAATATGGCCTGTCAAACAAAAACCAGAAAGAACATGATACTACTAATATATTAAGGTTTCATTTCACAAAAATATATATGATTCCAAATAATAGATCAGACATTATTTTACTCACAGTCAACTTGTCTCCAAGCCAGATAATCCAAAAGAATCTCGTATGTAGGATAGCATACTGCTCGTCCATCGAACGATGGAGGATACTTCAGTTCTTTGTGAGGGAAGAAATCTCGCCATTTTATCACATATGTGGATGTAAACAAGGATGCGATTGCAGATATTATCTTACTGCGAGACAGTATCAGGAAATTAAGAACGAAGAAAATCAGGGAGATAGAACCAAAGCTGTAAGCGAAAAACAAAATTTAGTTTAACCTGGATTGTTAACCTGGATTGTCTTTTGTAGAGCTCAGATTCTTTCTTCAAAACAAAGCTGGAATCGATGAAACTTAATTAATATCTAAGATATGTAAAAGTTGATATACAAAAGGTTGAGAGATGGAGACCTGTACTCATCACTCACACCATAGGCAAAGAGAATATCCTCAAACTCCTCGAGAACAGCCACAGCACATGAATTCATAAGTTTCAGAGCTTGCTCATCATTTGGCTTCTCAAATTCATGTACATCAGAAAATCTACCAAAATCCAAGCAAGCTCCATAAGTTACATTTTCAACATAGAACGTTAGTTGATTAGTAATAAAAAAAATTTTCAACTTGCAGTAATAAAACAAAAAAATTCAACTTGCTGAAAGTGCAAATTAAGATTCAAGAAGTAGAATACGCCCTAGACTAAACCACAACATAACATCAATAAACCGAAGAGGCCAGCTAAAGAAGTACATCATTTCATGACATAGCAGATTCCTAGGGAGCACAAGGACTTGCCAAACAAGGCTTTAGGAAAATAGGACAACAAACTAAAGAATATTACCTGTGAAAATGACAGCCGTCAATCCTAACCACGACCCAAGTTAAAGGTAACAATTTGTTCTCGAACTGAAACGACCTAACAAAATCTGGTTCGATTTTGCCGATATCTTTCGTAAAGTGACCAATATCATTATATAGGGAAGGGTGCTCATTCCAAAAGCTTCTTCCAGCAATATTCACTGAATGTACAAAAACAGCCTTTCTCCTCAATCTTTTTACAGGATTGCCATTCTCATCATGCTTGACAGTTTCTTCCACCTAAATGAAGTTAAATGGAAGTATCTCATATTGAAACTTTATAAGCCAAATTAATGATGGACATCAAGCAAAATGAAATAAAAAGGGAAAATCTAACTTTTCACAAAACACAATACAAAGAAGATAACACATATTTTCAGCTAGTTACATCAATATCAACAAAGCTGAAGTACTAGTCTTCTACACATGACAATATTTTACAAAGGTCCAGACAGTTAACATGTAAAATGAAAAACCTAGACGTACATGTGCGCCAATTATATCGTTCAACAAAATGATTTACAGAGAACCAACGTACAATTGGAGGGTCTAGATTCTAAATAACACATCACATATTAAGCAAGTATAAAAGAGCTGTATATAACATTTCTAACAGAAATATAAACTATCACCTTTGTCTTGAAAAGACATGATCCTTGACGAAACAATTCAGGAAGCATTTTGTAATTGATATCATTCTCAAAGAGAAGCTCATTTTTCTGTTGCTTTTGTGTATCCTGCAGGTACCCAAGGAAATAGTCAAATAGTGTAATCAAACAATGAATATAATCACTAATCATGAAACCAGGCGAAGAAGGTAAAGGACCCTATAGTCATAATGCTAAACACATTCCACGACAAAGAACACTGATGTCTATCACAGAAAGCACAAACAACACACCTTTAGAAGCTCTCGTATTTCATTTATTATGGTCTTCGTCTTTCCTCTGTTGTTAACTAACATCCAAAAACAAGTTTCATACTGATTATTGGCGTGGCCTGTAACGAAGAAACGGAAGTTGTTAGAAGTTCCCGAAGATACTTGACTCAAATAAGTATTAATAATATCTGGAACAGAAATTATCATGAAGGTGTGTCAAGTACAATAAATTCTGAGGTCAGAATGTCTTACAGTCCTGTTGTCTCCACGCGAGATAAACTTGAAGAACCTCTGCCGTTGCACAGCTTACAATTTTGGAGCTGAAGGAAGGAGCATATTCTAATTTTCTTTGGGGGAAGAACTCTTTCCATTTTGTTACATACACTGCAGCAAAGAAGGAAGCTACCAACGACAAGATCTTACTGCATATCAAACAAAAACAGGAAAGTAAAGACTATGAATCAATCAGAGAAATGAAAACCACATATTAGTATGCAAAAGGTTTGTATATATCGATCAAGTTTAGATGAATCAATACCTGGCTCGTCTCTGGTAGAATTTTGATGTTTTCTTGAATACAAAGCTACAGAATGCACAGAAAACAAATAAAGGCGATATATATATATATGAATGAGTGAGAGTGTAAAAACAAAAGACAAAGAAAGTCAACGAAGTGAATTTGGAACCTGTATTCATCACTGTATCCATATGCAAAGATGATATCAGGAAACTCTTCCAAAACCGCAGCTGAACATGAATTCATCAGATTGAGGGCTGCTTCATCATTAGGCTTCTTAAACTTATGAACTTGAGAAAATCTATAGTGATTAAGGAGGTAAGAGGGCGTAAGAAGTAAAGAGAGCATTCTCGACAAATAAATATCTTCATCAAAGTTTAAGTTCCATGAACAATGTGAAACAATATTGACTCAATGAGTGATATAACTATAACAAATGCAAGTAATGTCCATACTGAAATTCAGAAAATTGCAATCATGCTCCAAAATCTATCAAAGGAGCAGCCGTATTTTTTTGTTTGACCGCGAAAGACGCTGCCTTTAGTCATTAATTCCTCAAAATATTCCAGGGAGACTACAAAGTCAACAAGACCTAAAAGGAAAAGACATATGACTTGATAAACAATCTCATGAACAGAAGCAAAACCAATACTAATTTATCAGACTCTCATATCCTTCCTTTACACAATCTACATACCATCACCACTCACAACCTATTAAACAGTAATAAAGTTCCTAAAATCTACTGACTATCTCCCTTCTCGAACTCCAATCATCGAATAAAAAGCAAGAGAATTTACCTAGAAAAATCACGACCATCGATTCGAACAACGATCAAATTAGGAAACATAACTTCGTCTTCCAATTCGAATGACTTGACATACTCGTACTTGCTATTCGCCATATTTCTAAATGATTGAAGAATGTAAATGGCAAATACAAATCTTTACCTTCTTACGGTTCCCTTTCCTCCAGATTCATCTATACATAAACATACAAAGCAAAACTCATTAAATCCCAATATGCATCAATGAGATTCAATATAACTCTTTGCTAATACGTTTCACAAAACGTTCCTATTATACAAGAAATCAATGAGAACAAAGTAATGGAACTTTTGTAGCAACACATGAAACTGTAAGTAGGAGACATATCAGAACGAAGGTAAAGGCGCCAACAAATGTGAACTCAGATGCGGTACTGTGAGTTTTTAACCTAATAATCGATTTGGTATAACTCCTTTTTCAATATAACGTACACAGAAGTTAAAAACCTAGTAAAGCATCAATCTTTGAAATTACAAACACCGACAAAAATAATCACAAATCCATAAAGAAGCGAAACGAATCGGGGAAAAAAAAAGATATATAAAAAATTGATCTTGACCCTTTTCAAGAACCGCAAAATCAAAGGAACCCTTGAAACGATAAGTCGCAGAAAAGAAAAGTGGACATTAAAGTGGTGGATTTACCTTGAGATTTTGATTATTAGGGTTTCTATATGCTTCGAAAAGTGTAAGGAGATTAGAGAAAATTAAGAGAGAGAAGAAGAGAGACACGGACTTTGCGACTTTTAACTATATGCTATTCGGAGACAGGCTAGTTTGTTAATCCAACGGTTCATATCATAAGCTCCATAAACAACTTTCGATCTCTACCGTTAGATCCTGGAACAAGGCTCCATTAAATATCATGACCCTAGCCCATAGGCCCAACTTAAGCTGGGCCAATACATATTATTTATTGGCCTCTTTTGTGTAATTATCGTTTCTCAGCTAACCAAATTGTCAAAATCGAAATCGTTTTATAGCGGTGCGTTTGGAACGTTTGTGTTTTATCAATGAGCCGACTTGTTGTTAGTTGTTTAGTTGACTAAGCTTGAGTGAATAAGAAGCTATTGCATTATTGATAATCTCCACATTGGTATACATTTATTTGCTTAACTTGCTCGGAATATGAAATAAAATCTATGAATTCAAAGTTACATTACAGATAGATATCGGTATAGAACCAAAACGCAAACGCATAAAACATTTACTGCTTCTTCTGCACAACATTCTCCAAATACCACTCATAAGTTTGGCGAAACTTCTTCTGCACAACATTCTCCAAATACCATTCATAAGTTTGGCGAAGACCATCTTTCACAGAAATCTTCGGTGTCCATCCCAGAGACGCTAGCTTTGAGTTATCCAAAAGACAAATAAATGCG